GGCCGCCCCCGCCGCCGCCGCCGAGCCCGGGGCGCCCGCGTCCCGCTTCGGGGGCCGCACCCTGGAGGAGATCTGGAGGGCGGCCACCCCGACGCTGACCAGCTTCCCGACCATCCGCGTCGGCGACGACGTGTGGGGCGAGCGCAGCCTGGCGGTGGCGCGGCGCAGGGCGAGCCAAGTGCTGCGAGTGGACCTGGACCCCGTGGTGAGGCTGCGCCGCTTCCCGGTGCCCCGGGCGTGACGCGCGCGGCGGCGCCTCCTGCGGGCCGCCCCCGAGGACGCTTCCGCGCCCCGGAACGGACAGATGTCAGTCGAATGTTTACAGAACCGGCCCCCTTTGGTGCACTTTACGCGCGAACGAGGCCCCCACCCCCGGTGCGGCGCTGCGCCGCGGTGCCGGGATCGGGACAGGTGCGGCTCCGCGCCCGCGGCCAGACCGGACCCGCAGCAGAAGTCCCCTTGCTTCCCACCCCGGATGGAGACGTCTCTAGCACTGGAGGGACACGTGCATTCTCTCCCTCTCGGACTCTACCTCACCGGTCTGGAAGTCCTCCGAAGACTTATAAAAAAAAAATTTTTTTTTTTCTCCAAAGGAATTTGTTTTCGTGCTCGTGTAATAAAGCCAGAATTTTACTCGTTCTTTACTCCCCTTCTTCTGTTTTCCTTTTGACTGTCAGCCCCACTTTTGGACAGAAGAGCGACTATGTTTCCTGGTGTAGTGCTGGTGTTTGCTCAGGGGATTCTGAAACCCACTAATTTTTACTGGATTCCAAAGCTTTGATCAAGGCTGTCTTTTAAGAGTTTCAAGCTTGTGACTGTTAATGTAAGGATTTATATGGCTTTGAATTTCACGAGCTCAGTGAATACCAAGAGATGCAAAGTACAACTGTTTAACAAAATTAAGGGGTTTATAATATAAAATTTTATATTGAAATTTAATATTTATATTTACTGAGCTCCTAAAGAATGGTAGAATATTCTTTAAAAGTTTTGTTTAAGAAAAGTTGACTTTATTCTTTTTAATTGAATAAAATTGAAGTGTTTTGGAACCACATGGCTTGTGATAAAAAGTGAATAAATTTTGAAGAATGACTGGAATCCAGTTGGAGGTGATCTGGCCTCACGTCCTGGTCTAACATGAAATCCAGGACTGGTAATGGGAAGAGAATTAAGGTGGAAGTTGCTTAGGAGAGATAATTTCTGTGGACATTGTGAACAAACGGATAGACAGAATGCCCTTCAGAATTCCCAGAACTGTGAATAATCTATAGGCAGGGGCATTTCTTGGTACCATACAACTGGTTGAAGTTGTTTGGCAGAGAAACAGTTCTTGTTCCCTTGTGGTTGGGTAACGAGAAATGCCTAAACTGAAACTCATTGTAATTTCTGAAAACCATGACAATTGGTTGGCTTTTTTTGTCCTTTGAGTTTTCTTTTTCTCTTCTTCCCATTCATAGTTGTGTTTGCAATCCTTGATAGCAGAAGGCCACAGGGATCAAAAAAAAAAAAAAAAAAAAAAAAATCGAGCCACACAGTACTGACCCTTTTCATACACTTTTTATAATAGTGTATATACCATATGGCCCAGAGTGGAGTTCTTCATTATCCAAGTGCCTTTGGTCATTGGTGGCAGCAAGTCTTGGTGGTTTTTTAGCCAGTGGTGCCACAGCCAGCTTTTTCTGCAATACCTAAAGGGTCAAATAGTGTTTTTCTACCACTGTTATTTCAGATTTAAGTGTTCTGCCTTGGGACATTCGTACTGGGCTGGATTTGGTGAAGCCCTCAACATTAAGGTTTATCTCTGCTTGGCAATTTCTTAGAATAATGAGAGTTGCAGTTTTGACTCTTTTGTTCCTAGAATTCAATGGCATAGCTTTCTGAAATAAGTGTTTTAAGTTTAATAGTTCATGAAAGGAGTGTTGTGACTTTAATTTGTGTTTTTGCTTTGTAAAAAAAAAATTATATATATACACACACACATAATTATGCCAGTTTCCCACAAGCCTCAATCTTATTCACTACTCAATGATACACATTGCTACAAACACTTACTTGAGTACATAAAAAGTGGGTCATTATGAGAGGGAGAGTTGTGTCCTGGGAAGCTGAGCAGGTCTTGGCTGTTAGCTTCCATTGCCAAATCTATTTCAGATACATAGTTTTTCTTCCCCCAAAATATATTGTTACCTTTTATATCTAACCAGCACCTGATAAAAGCGTGTTTGTACTGCTTCACCTGTATATAGTTTTATAACAATGAAGAAACAAATCCAATGGCCATATTAGAATGTAAATTCAACATGGAATTTATCTTGATACTTCCCAGAGGATTCTGAAACTAGACATGGCTGAGGGGATAGTTTTTCTCAGCACACAGTAACCAGTGACACCGCATATTTATTTTTAAAAAGATTTTTGACATTTGCTTCTGTTATGCCTTGGTATTTCAGTGCAGTGACCTCATGCATAAATACATTTCAGCTTATTGATCCGACTGATTCAAGTTTAGATTTGGTTGCCCATTCTGCTTTTGATATGGTTCAAAGATACAACTTTTATTTTGCCAAGTTATTTTTTTTTTTTCAGCAAAACCTGTGTTGCAACTTTGAAAATATGAAGACACGTCTAATGTGGCTGACAAGTCTATTATAAGCAAGTGGAATTTTTCCTGGGTACCTTTGGGTGGGATGTGGAAAGAGACTTGGCGCTGTGGCCTTTACCATGAAACATCTGGGTTTTGTCCTAGAAAGATACTCTAGCTTGGTTGGTGGGAAGTTTTGAAAGACATCCGGTTTGTTCTCTTGCCCTCTCTCATCTCTCATGGCACAAGAAGAGAGGTCAGCTGGGAGGGAATGTATCACCTCACTAAGCTTTCATTTAGATTTTGATTTTTGGGTTCCTACTTGTGGTGACCTTGTTAGACTCCTGATGTCACTTACACCCTTCTCTTATCACCTAGCCCCTTTTTTTTTTTTACTTTGCTAAGCCAATAACCTGGTGACAGCCGGGGGCAAGCATCCTTGTTGACAGTGCGGAGTGTTGCTGTTGTGGTGCCTATTTATTTTGTCTGTCCTGGTATTTTATGGACAAGTATAACTTAAGCTGGTAGCTCATACCTATAGACTTGCCATGTGTACATAATACTATTTTTCAAACAACTTTATAAAAAAAACTTTAAAAATATTCAAATTAAAAAAAATCAC